ATTGATGGAGGTAAGTCAGAGTTTCTTCAATTGAACTTCCGCTAGAGCTTCATTTGTCTTTAAATTATTTCTTGTGTGGATTCTCTCTTTTTATTCTATTTACTACTAGATGATTGATCAGTTTTTCTGTCATAAAGCATTTAGAACTCTGTTAGTGTTCCTCTTTGTCTGGGAGGTTTTGTACAACGTTGTTTCACTGTGTGAACGGGTAGTAGCTATATTGCTGACAGTAATGAACTCCTGCATCTTCAGCCTCAACTCCACTGATTGTTAAAATGAAAGCAGTTCTAGATAAAATTCCACTAAAATGACCTGGAATTCCAAACTCATGAGATGAAGCTCTATAGATTAAAAGTTTAGGAGACTCTCCATCCTTCTGGAGGTACCAGCTGAGGAAGCTGCTAACACTGGAGTTGGTTTTACATCTGATGGAGACAGTCTGTCCTAAAACAACAGACCGAGATCCTGGAGTCTGAGTCAAAATAGTGTCGCCTTATGAACCTGGAAAATAAATTAAAGGAATAACAAAAATTTGAAAGATTGCTGTTGGAGAAAGACAATAACAATAGTGCAAAAAGATGATATGTTCTTGAAGATTGTAGAATTTAATAAAAATCTTTCAAATGAAGGATCATTATAATGTTTTATCCTGAGTTGATGTTTTCAGCAGAGAGTCTGACCCTGACACATATGCAAACACACAGAGTCAGTCACATGGAGTCATCATGTTTCCTCCTGAACACTGACGGGTTGCTGTCTATACATCAATTACCATGCAGTGAAATTATCTGCAGCTTGTGAATTAATAGCTTCTTTTTTTTTACATTATCTTAAATGTTACAGTTAATATTCTATTAAAGACATGATTTTTGTGTAATTATACGGTTTCTAAATTCTTCAGGTAATCACATCGTTATTGGTAGAAAAATCATTTGTATTTTCAAGTTACATCATGTAAAAATTAAACATCTTTCAACAGTATCTTGGAGAGTTATTTTCAATTTTTTTGGATATTTATAATCCACTTGGTGATTTATGTTTAGCAAAATGCTGAATTTATATGTGAGAGTTATGCTTTTAGAGGTGAACATCTACATTTAAGGAGCTTATTATGAGTCTGCAGCAAATAAACACTGAAATGTTTTCATTTCCTAATCTTTGTCAAAAATGTTAACAACCAGCTGCTAAAGGTAATTTAAGTAAAGCATTCCCAATAAATATGATATTTTAATTGTATTGGTAGAGATTCTTTGTGAGTTTACACGTAGTGCAGTATGTGAAGAACGGTTTCTTCAGTGAACCGAATCAAACTTTGCAGCCATCAGTTCAGTTTCAGTTCTGTGTGACTGAGGGGGTTTTTGTACGATGGTTTTTCACTGTGAGAACAATAGTTGACTATTTATCTTGAATTCCCCTTTACAGTAATAAACTGCAGCATCTTCAGCCTGAACTCCACTGATTTTCAGACTGAAATCAGTGTTTGATCCACTGGCGGAGAAATGGTCTGGAGTTCCTGTAACTCTCCGATTGCGATAGCTAAAAATTAATTTAGGAGGCTCTCCGTCTCTTTGTTGGTACCAAAACTGATCTTCTCCATCATCGACTCTTTGACTGGTTCTACAGTTGATGGTAACAGATCCTCCCAGATCAGCTCTCACTGCTGCAGGCTGAGTCACTGTGACCTGACCTCTGGACTCTGAGGACACAGAGACAAAAACATAAAGCAGCTTCATGGTTTGTTGGCTTCATTTCAGAGGGACAGATGTTCATAGAGGAGAGGAGTTTGATTCTCTGGACTTTACCTGTGAAGCAGCAGCAGAGGAGAGTCCAGATGAGGACGCAGATCAAAGTCATGTTTTTGATGAGGAGGATTTCTGTGTCTTCTGTTGTCATGAAGGACAGCTGTCAGTCATCCAGTGTTCAACTCTCAGGACTATAAACTCTCCCAGAGCGCTGGAGCATGGAGCTGCTGATGCAAAGTGGCTCTATGGAAATACTCTGACTGAGTCCAACAGAGATTTTTGGTATAAAATAAAAATTGATGAACCAATAGAAATATTTTAGATTTCAGTGTTTCTTGTGATCCTGAAAGAATAAAAAAATCCTTGTTATTGCAAAGTTTTAATGTTTTGTTCTATATGTTTTTGTTTTATATGTTTTATATTTAGCTGCTTTCCTTTTGGCCAGGTCTCTCTTGCAAAAGAGATTTACATCTCACTGTGACTAACCTGGTTAAATAAAGGATAGTCCTGAGCTGATGCATGGATTTCCTGTTGCATTATTCATATAAAGATCTGTTGTTTATCTGTTGATTTTCATCTTAAGAATTTCTGTTACTTGTTCAGATACTCAAGAATTTCAAAATAAAATTAAATAAAAATCATAAATCATGTTCTACTGTTGAGTTTAACCAGATTCATTCGGCTATAAGTGTTAATTATAATTCTTCGTTCTATCTTATGAGAGAAAAAAAAAGTATTTCCAATTCTATTATTTCTAAATAATAAAATAAAGGAACATCTGGTCAAAAGGATCCATCCATCCATAAACTACAGTAACACGCTTGTCCCAAGTGGGGTCACGAGGGGTGCGAACAACCATTCATGCACACACTCACACCTAAGGAGAATTTAGAAAGTCAATTAACCTAACAGTCATGTTTTTGGACTGTGGGAGGAAGCCGGAGTACCCGGAGAGAACCCACACATGCTCAGAGAGAACATGCAAACTCCATGCAGAAAGACGCTGGGCCAGGAATTGAACCCAGAACCTTCTTCTTCTAAACCTTCTTGGTTATAAAAACATGCTTTATTAATATAATATTCTACATGTAACTTTATATTCATTCTATTTTTTTTATTATTTGATTTTAATCTTAATCAATGAACCCTCTTCAAATGATGAAATAATTATTTAGGTACATCATAAGCTTTTTCATTTTTCTTTTTACCTCATTGCAAAAACTGAACATAAATGTCTTTCACTCTTAAATTTTTGTTTCAAAATATACAAAATAATCACAATATTTGCTCAGTCAAAGTAATTATCAAATTGTGAACTATTTAGTACTTTGTTAAGAATATGTAAATAAACCAACATNCACGCAGTTAGTGCAGATCAAAGTCATGTTTTTGATGAGGAGGATTTCTGTGTCTTCTGTTGTCATGAAGGACAGCTGTCAGTCATCCAGTGTTCAACTCTCAGGACTATAAACTCTCCCAGAGCGCTGGAGCATGGAGCTGCTGATGCAAAGTGGCTCTATGGAAATACTCTGACTGACTCCTAAAGAGAATTTTGGTCAACAATGATATAATCTATTAATTTATCAATATATTTTTTAGCACCCACTACCTCAAACAAACTACAGTGTGAACTTTACATTCAAGCCCCTGTGACGTTGAAAAATAAAAAATCCTTGTTAAATCATTGTAATCAATTGTTTCTATGTGTAAATGTTTTTGGTGAGAGTTTTTGCAGTTTTAATCCTTTGAATTAGTTTTATATGTTGTAACTTATACTCTTTTGTCCTCTTGACCAGGTCTCTTTTGCAAAACAGATTTTATTTCTCAGTTGGACTAAACTGGGGTATAATTGATATAACAAACAGTCCAAGATGTTTTTGTGAGAGTTTTTCCCCTTAATGTTTCTAAAACATTGCTGTGAAAACAGACTACACTGAAGTTTGCAAGCATTTCAGTCAAACATGATAAATTCTGTGAAATATTTAGATTAAAAAAAATAATTTTATCAATAAAATTGCAGGTTGTGTTGCTTTTTCATACTTCTGGATAGAGGCACTTCTTACAAGTTTGAGTATTTTTCTACTATCAGCCTGCAGGCAGGCAGACATGAAGAAAGACAGCCAGGCAGACAGACACTGTACCTTCCTGCTTCTTTCATTTCCCCTACAATTTTTTACTCAGATCAATAAATAATCTTGTGGTCGGTAGGCTACAACCATTTTATCTGTATCTGGAATTCCCACAGGATCTTAGCTCTTCCAATATCTTCCACCTTGCTGTGAGATGCTGGGTTGTTTCTGGGACATCTTTGGAGAGCCTGCACCTGGAATCTTGCCTGGTAGATCTGCTCCTGTACTGCCATGATTAATGTTTCTGTTCCTTCCTTCAGCCTGGCCTTCTCACTGGTAGGATTTGGTAATGTCAGCCATTTCAGCTACCTGTCGGTGGTATATCCCATGCAGAGGTTTTTCTTCTCTTCTCTCGTGGGGCGACAGTGGTGTTGGATGTAGGAGTTTGCCCTGAAATCGAAGGGTTGACGGTTCAAGCCCCGACTCCGACTTTCATTGTCGTTGTGCCCTTGGGCAAGACACTTCACCTGCATTGTCTACTGATGGTGGTCATAGGGCCCGGTGGTGCCAG